CCCCCCCCTTCTCTCAGATTTATTCATGTGCTTTTTTTAAGTTGTTTATGTTTACCCAGTTGGGCTCCGATTGGTTCTGCCTCCGTTTAAAAACATCTTTTAATAGTTTTCCCTGACGGGCTAAAGTTTAAGATACCTGGTTTAGATAAACCCAGATGGAGTAGGGTTTTCAAAGGTATCGATACACAAAAAAGTATAGATACTAAAACGTTGTATCCGGATACGATACTTATTTTCAAAAGTATCGATACCCCCCCCCCCCTTCTCTCAGATTTTTTTATGTGTTTTTTTACGTTGTTTATGGTCATTAACAAGACGTTAACCTTGAACTGCTAGCTGCGGCTAATGGCTAATAATAACATGCTACCATTAGTCAAGTACATATCCAACTCCGCCCACCTCCCAGTCACCAATAGGGAGATCCCAGGCAAGAAAATGGTAATGCCTCATGGCAATATAGACATTAATTTAAAAATAGTTAAATTAATATTTCGAACACTTAATTAAACTCTATCCATAATATTATGTTAAAATAGTGGATGTTAAATAGGTTTGTACAATAAGTCCAAACAAGTTTAACCAAAAAATATTTATTTCTCACAATTATTAAGGCTGTTGGGTCAGGGTCAGGGTTAGCGTCAGGGTTAGACTTAGGGTTAGGGTTAGGGTCAGGATTAGGTTTACGGTCAGGGTTGGGGTTAGGATTAGGATTAGGGTTAGGGTTAGGGTCAGGGTTAGGGTTTGGGTCATTAATGTGGGCCACCATAACATCAGTAACAGGTCAGTTTGAAACCAAAGACACTAACCTGTCAAAATTCAGTTAAATTTTGGGGTCTTTGTTTTTATCCTTGTGGTATCGAAAATGGTATCGAGTATTTTCCTGAGTATCGGTATCGAGTTGAAAATTTTAGTATGGTGACAACCCAACCCGAAGCCCCTCTGACCGAAGCCCCTGGGGGGGGAAACGGAGTTCCGGCGGGTCAGAAACCTGAGTTTTGAGCGTCCGCTCCGACTGAAGCTGCTTCTCAAACGTCTGCTTCATCTGGCCGATCTGCTGCTCCCAGTCCTTCGACTTCTCCGTGTCTGGAAGGAGGGACAGAAGCAGATTCATGAGCTGTGTCCGGAGAGGGGAGCCTCTGGTAGAGTCAGAGAATTAAACTAAAGTATTGACATTATCACTACCACTTATTTTAGACCTATATTTACAGTGGGAGAAATAAGTATTTGACCCCTTGCTGATTTTGCAGGTTTGCCCACTTACAAAGAATGCAACGATCTATAACTTTAATCATATGTACATTCTAACAGTGAAAGACAGAATCCCAAAGAAAATTCCAGAAAATCACATCATATGAATTTATAAAAATTGATAACCACCTGATGAGGAAAAATAAGCATTCTTTGTAAGTGGGCAAACCTGCAAAATCAGCAAGGGCTCAAATACTTATTTCCCCCACTGTATATATTCTGTGTGGAATTTTGAATAGTTTTCCTCTGCACATACGGGAGAGCCCTACACTGATCAGCTTCAGAGCTCAACTCAAACTATGGATGAAAACAAACCAGTCATGTGACCACTAAACTCTCAACATTTCCTTGTGATGCTTATATTGTGTATTATATGTTCTTTCTTATGCATTTGCCTGCTTAGGGACTACGGATGAAAACTAGCTTTGTAGCTATAATCCGGCATATTTACATTTTTTTTTATACTGATTGATGTGCTTTGTCCCTATTCAAATAAATAAAAAAAATTAAAAAATAAAATAAAAAAAAATGGATCTGGAGTCTGGATCTGTGTTTTCTCCTGCCGGCCGATCGGATCCAGATATCGGATCGGGACCAGCCTAGACCAGAAGCTTTTAAAGCTGTTTTTGGGGGGAGTTTAAAGCAGTTTTTTGGGGATTTTAAAGCTGTTTGGGGGCTTTTAAAGAGGTTTTTTTAAATTTTAAAGCTGTTTTTGGGGGGCTTTAAAGTAGTACTCTGGATCTGTCTTTACTCCTGCCGGCCGATATGCAGTTTTTTGTGAATATCGGCGGCCGATTGGATCCAGATATCGGATCGGGACCGGCCTAGTCTCTGTTTACCTTCCACGGCCTCCCGCAGTCTGCTGTTCAGCTCCTCCTTCTCGTTGGCCAGGTTGGCCACGTCGCTGGTCAGCGTCCGGTTGGCTTCTTCCAGCTGGACGACGGGAGAAAATAAAATATTTATTTATTTAATCAGGACAGTGCACATTAATGAACAATCTCATACAGATTGTAAATGAGCCAGATTCTAGCATAGTTGCTAGTTTACATCTGTGGTCCTGAGGCAGGAAGACCAAACAACACAAAATCACACAATACAAAATCAGTCCAAACACACGTTCAGACAATGACATTACAAAATTAAAATCAATTCAGTTCAATTCAGTTTCATTTATATAGCGCCACATCACAACAACAGTTGTCTCACAGCTTTCCAAACAGAGCAGGTCAGACTAGGGGTGGGACGGTTCACAAAATTCACGGTTCGGTTCGATTCACGGTTTTCGGTTCGGTTTGGTATATGTTGATTGTTAGGAAAATCTATTATGTCTTGTATAGTCAGGTTAAAACTGAAAGAAAAAAGCAGTCTGACATTTGATCCATTACTGTGACAGTCTGAGGTTAAAGTAGGTGAGATTCTGCCAGAGAGGAAACAGTGCTAATTCCAACATGTGCTTCCCTCTAAATGCAAACTGGTCCATACAGCAGACCTAGAAACTGCTGCTGGTCTGATTTTTATGGGCTACGCTGCTTCTTCTTCTTCTTGTTTCCTACTGGTGGCTGGCTT